GTGTGTGTGTGTGTGTGTGTGTGTGTGTGTATGTGTGTGTGTGTGCGTGTGTGTGTGTGTGAGAGAGAGAGAGAGAGAGAGAGAGAGAGAGAGAGAGATAGAGAGATAGAGAGAGCGATAGAGCGGTAGAGCGATATTGAGAGAACATGAGGAAGGGAGGGGACGGTGGAATGAGTTAGCAAGTGAATTCGAAATAATCTACTGTTCAAGCATTACTTTTGAAGTTGTGTCACCCTTCCAATTTTCAACGACGATACTATTGTAGGAGATTAAAGCACTTTTGAACACTTTCTGGTTATATAAACAATCATCAGACCTCTTAGTTTTTACGTCCGTCGTCGATATAACCAAGCCAAGTGGGTGGAGAGCCTTGAAACTCCTCTGACTACCCAGTTCAAAGGCGCCCATTTGGGGATTCGAGCCAGGGCCATCCGCCTAACCAAAACCCAAAATGATAGCAAAAGAACTAACGGTATACTCCATAATACGGAGGGGACTATTGATTTATGATTTTGATTTTGTTTTAAAAAATCGTTACAGAGACTTGTGTCTATTGTGTAGCGCTTAGAAGCTTCATTGTTGCATGCAGAAGATGTGAGTTCGATTCCCAAGATTTTCGTCTAGCATCTTTGTCTGTCGGTTGGGACGTGACGCTGTGTTCCCTTACCCAGGGCTGGTCCTGACAGGCAGGTTCCAAGCAGCCCGCCTCCTTTACGTGCTAAAATAATATGTCAAAGAGAAGCTAGAACATTTACAATCACAATAAATTTATAGTAGATAGTCAGATAACAGTTTAAAAAAAAAAAGGGGGGGGGGGGAGCAATAAATCTGCGCAAACTCCTGGAAGAGCTCAGATCTACTCGTTTTAAACGCATTTCGTACTGTACACGGGGAATCCTCGTGTGCGGTAGGAAATGCGAGAAGACGCCGAGACTTGTTATTCTTTTTTTTTATACTGAAGAATGAGTGAGAAAAGTACAGAAAAAAATAGTTGAAAATACTGAAGAAAAAATGTGGCAAAAACAAAAAACAAAAAAAGAAAGAAAACAAGAGAACAAGAAAAAACAAACAATGGGGGAAACGGAAAAGGGAAGTAGGACAGTGCAGGAGACGGCGACAGAAACCAAAGGGTCTACAAACAAACAAACAAACAAACAAACAAACAAACAAACAAACAAACAAACAAACAAACAAACAAACAAGTAAACAAATAAATAAATGAACAAACAAACAAACAAATATCAAGCCAAAATATTTTTCCCACAAAGTTCAAAATTTATTCTACATCATCTTGCCAAATGACTTGCCAAACTTTCAGTTCTCCCAAAATCCCTGCTTCGCGAGAAGCCTGCTGAAAGCGTTGTGTCCATTGAGAGGACTAGGGTGGATCTGATAATTTCTCAGAAGAAGATTCAACACCCTGGGACTGATTTCTTCCCGCTTACTGCCGTAGTATCGCTTGTCGAAGAAACCCCTTTTGTCTTCGGCGAAGTCTGAGAGAGCAGCGTTCGACTCTTCATCTTTGCTATCGGCGTAACTCTTCTTGTCGAAAAACCCTCGCTTGTCGAAGAAGCCGCGTTTGCTTGCGTCACCTCGTTTGTCGAAAAAGCCCCGCTTGTCGAAGTAGCCCCTCTTCCCGAAGCCCTCTTTCAGGACGTGGTCGGCGACTGCCCCGGCAAAGGGCGTCAGTTCCGAGTCTGTTTCCGCGAAGCCGATGTCTTCTGCGTACAGGAAGTCAAGGGTGGCCACTAGGAGCATTGTGAGCAGAAGGCATTGAGCAGATGACGTCATGGCTGGAGTTGGGCGGGTCGAGTTGTATTGTTTTATTAGTGTACCTGCGGTTTGTTTCGACGTTTAGTGAATCTGGGGATAGAATAAGACACGAATAATAGTAGTTAATAACATGAATGATCTACGTCAATACTGATAAGTCCTCAGTTTTTTGTGTGTTTGCTTGTTTGTTTTGCCTGTTTGTTTGTTTGTTTATTTAAGTTTTTCACAGTATCACACAAAAGACGTTGTTTTAATTGCGAAATAAGGAAAAGTAATTTATTGAGTAGCTTTATGTATTCATTTATTTCGTGAAAATGGACGACTTTAGTGAGATTTCGGATTTGAGTCGTTTGAGTATTTAAAAATCCAAAAAGATATTTCATCATCTTCTCTTTTTTTCGATGTGCTCAAGCCTCACAATCTCTGGATCATGTTCTACAAGGAAGACATTTACACAGAACCCTATAAGAAGAACAACATGTTATCTTCAAAAGACATCTTAAACATTTTTCTGTTCCTACAGGCCTATCCTTCATAAGCTTTTAACGTTATCTTTCATTATATTTGTTCTTTTCCTATGTCTGGATGAAAATAGTCTCTGTGTGTGTGTGTGTGTGTGTGTGTGTGTGTGTGTGTGTGTGTGTATGTGTGTGTGTGTGTGTGTGCATTAATGTATATTGCTTGAGAAGAAAGGAAGTAGTAAGAAAGGTTTTTGAAAAATGGGTATTCCAATGTAAAGCGCATTGAGCTACTTTTTTGGGAAATGCGCTCTATAAATGTTATATATTATTATTATTATTATTATTATTATTATCTCCTTTTACTCTAACATTTTCCGCGTTTTTACAATTTGTCAAAAATCACAAGCCAAATTGAATCCTTTGTATTAAGTTTAATGGAATTTACGTATCTCGTTTATGCTGATAGCGTTTTGTATTGTATGCCATAAAATGTGTTTATCGGCCCGTTCAAAACTGCAGTTATCTGATAGGCAGGATATACAACGTGGCGTTCGTCCACGATACCACTAACACAAGTCGGTGGCAATTATATAGACTCTCAAAATTAAACTAAGCTCAAGAGCACACTTTTAGGGATCCGAACCACGCACGTTTACAACGTAGTCTAGATTGAAATCAACCGCGACAAATTGTAGTCTAGGAAGATAACATTACCGAGATATCAGACTGTAGATATATTTGGCGACATGTACAAGTAAACAGCCAGGAGTAGAAACAACTGGATATTTGAGAAATATCATTTTCTCCTATCAATAGTAACATCTCCTTCTAGGTGCGAGACAGAAATTAATTTGATAAAGGCAATGTGAGGAGCCATTATATCTGTCTCCATACAGTAGCGGACGAAGCCATGGAGATCTTATCAGCGTACCGGTAACGACACGTGGGAGTGTGGCATCAGTCGTGACAACGATTGATGTTGGTATAATGGTGTCATTTACGTGGCATTCAGTGTTGATGGAATCGAAGCAGGGTTTCCGTTTTCGTGTTTTCTCAATTTCTTCAACTAGCATACCGTAAAGGTGTAAACAACGTTTGGTGCTAATAGGTTTGCAGTTTCAGCCATGGAGCTAATCTAAAGCTACACCAATCCTCGCGTTTGCTGATCTGTACGCTGTTGCGACGTGTTGTAAAACGTTTATTTTTAGACGATAGTTTCACGTTTTGACATTTACCCTAGCATTGCTTATTATAGTAACATTATTCTAACCCGGGCATGAGTATGATTCATAGTTTATTACAACTATTCAGTAAGAAGATGCCAAACAATAATTGGTAGATGGGAAGGGTGTGGGGAAAAGGTTTATATTATATGTGCAAATCATATTTCCAAATGTAGACTCTAAACGCTTGATAATGTTCAACTTTTCCTTGGTACTCTTCCTATCAAGAGCGATTATATCTAACTGGCGTCGCACGCAGGGAAGTCGTGAGCTTGATTCCTGTGTGTGGATGTTTTTATTGAGTGTCTCTGTCTCTCTGCAGGGACATTGTATCCCTTTCAGTCCAAGTTGGCCCGAAAAGACAGGGTCAAAACAGACTGCCTTGTGAATGAACTAAATTGTGTCAATGCGAGAGAAAGAGGGGAGGCACAAAACTTTTACGATAATTTTTGTTATTTTCCTATCTTATTAGAGAGTGATATTTTTGTCAACCCAATCATGGAGTCTGTACAATCAGGCTACGTTGATAAACATACAGCAACAGCAAAGAACCTAGCCATTGCAACGTAAACACCAGATTAACAAGAACTAGACCTAAATAATGATGGTCGCCAAAAGTAATGAATCAGTAAAATTGGAGCCAGGTGATAGTATGTAGAATGTCACTTGTAGATTCTGTTACTGGTTTTTTCTTCTATTGTTCCTGTCTGAGCGTCTTGCCCTTCCCTTCACTAAATGACCGTATCGTGTCGATGTGTGTATCCTTACTCAAGTTAAAACCCTCACAGCACTGGTGCCGGTAAAGTTAACTGTATCCCTTAAATGTGGGTGGGCTGAAATATTAGTTACTTCTCAGATTTTAGCAAGAACAGACAGATATAGAAATTCATTCGTACCAACTGCAGTGAGGTTACTGTACACACAGTGCTACAAATGAAACAGAGAGAGAGAGAGAGAGAGAGAGAGAGAGGGGGGGGGAGGGGAGTGGGAAAGATAGAGACAGAGACAGAGAGAGAGATAGATACATAGACAGACAGACAGATGGACAGACAGACAGACAGACAGGCAGACAAACAGACAGACAGACAGAGGAGAGGGTGTCGTAATGTAGCACGAGGGCCAAGGAATGACAGATGAGAATTCTCTGTGTGAATAAATAAAGGACATGAAACAGGGAAGGCACAGCGGGGTAGGAACAAATAGCGACTATGGAGCACTGTAGCGAGGTAGGTGCTAGATATAACACTGATGTACAGATCTAGAGTCAGGATGATTTAAAATACCCGGAAGTAGTAAAACTTCGGAGCCCAAACGGTGTCTACTCTCGCAACATGCAGACACGTAATTATGTCATCTCCTCCCCCCCCCCTCCCCATCCTTTTTCTCACTCTTTCATACACTCCCTCCCCTTCTCCCCCTGTCTCATCCCCCCAAAACAAACAAACAAACAAACAAACCCCACCTTCACTGTTTCATACCCTTATTGCACATACTCGCATACAATAAAAAAAACGAGATACAGCCACCTTTTTATTTCTTTCTTTGTGGTTCAATTTTTGTTTCTGTTTCCAAAATCTCCCAGCTGCTAAGAACAAAACGCCAATGCCACACACGCGCAAGGGAAGATAACTCCCTCCCTAAATAATGGCATAGTCTCCCCTGCACAGTAGCTGCCACACCACCGTCTGGCAGATTCATGGCGGCTGTCAGGGGAAGTCACTGCTGCCACCGAGTCCTCTGGTCTTACAACTGGTTCCTGTTGGCCTTCTTCTGTCTTCTGGAATGACAGATAGACAAACTAGGGCGACGGTAGTGGCGGTAGTGGTGGTGGTGGTGGTTAAGAGATAGAGAGAGAAAAAAAAAGAAAAAGATCGAATGAGCGTATAATTGTTTCAGCCCTTGTTCTAGGGAGTGGGGTAACTTAATCTATGGTAGTT